CAAAATCTATGGCCGAGCCAGGACCTGGTCTCCAGTGTCATAGTCCAGTGCTCAAACCACTACGCCATACTGGCTCTAATTCCTTGCCTAATAAACCATGTTGTTGTGTACCTTCAAGTCATTTCCAACTTATGGCGACCCTATCAGCAAAAGTGATAGTGTGATCAGTTATTATGGAATATGAGACTTGCCTCCTTTGAATTAAAAAGGAGTTAAATCCACACATGCAACACGCTGCAGCATCAAGTTGTGTGTGTTCATGTATGATATCAAACAATTCATCTAACATCAAACACTATAGAACTTTTAACATGCACAAGCATATCCCTACCTTTGACCACTGTTGCCCCAGAACAGACCTAAAAGTACATGCTTATGACCACAAAAATGTTGTATGTAACTGATTGGTGCTGTATGTGTTACATGTGGTTAGGAACAAGATAATTCCCTGTCCATTCCCAACTTATTTATAAACTGTTTAGATTTTTTTTTAAAACAAAAGAATTCCTCAGCACTTGTGCTCTATAAAAAAAGTTAAATAAAATTATATTTAAAAAAAGGACTTGTGCTCTTGATTACCTCTCAGCCCATTGACATATGCATGCTACTTGCTTTCATCAAAGCCATTTAATGTAGGGTTTTATAATTTTACCCTAAAATTTATTTTAATCATTTGGTGAAAGCACATCTGCCTTATCTCCTACACCAATATAGATACTATGCTGTTGTTATTGTGCCTTCAAGTTGATTCCAATTTGTGGGAACCCCAAACAAAGCCTATCACGTGGCAATATTTGTTCAGAGGGGGTTTGCCATTGTCTTCCTCCGAGGCTGAGAGTGTGTGATTTGCCCAATGTCATTCATGGGTGTCATCATCCAAGGAGGGATTTGAACCCTGGTCTCCCAGAGTCCTTGTTTAACACGCAGACCGTTACACTGAGCTTGCTCCATAGATAGGTTTGCAGAAAAGGGGATGGAGAGCAGTATCACATCTTCCCCATTATAGCAAGAATCTCTATTTATGTATGCATGGGTCATTAACGCTAAAATAATAGCAAGGTTGAGAAATGGCTACACCATGCCTAATCTTTGGAGCAAAGAAAGAAAAAGAAGTTTGGCAATGTTGTCCCCGCAAGATAATGGGCTGACAGGCATCCAGTTTATTTCAGCGTTAAGATTTTATGAGCTCAAATCTTCAGATATATGCCCCTGAAAAAGTATGCTAAACAAAATTGGTTGTCAAAATTCGTTGCTACAAGTGTATACTTTTTTTCTCCTTTATTGTAGGAACATGGACTAGCATGGCTATCTCTTACTAATTTATTTACCTATTACTTATTCGTTTATTGATTTGTGTGTGTTTTTAAAAAATCTGCAATGAAAATAACTCATGCACAAAATTTCCACTCTCTCCATTTCTCTGAGAACTTTTAAACAGCAATTTGCATACATTTTTCATATTCGTGCCTGTCTGGTCCCTTTACAGTGTTTGTTAATTTTGGTTATGCTCCTTGAATGTCTGCATAATCGTGTAGGAAGCTTTCCTTTAACTTCACTACTTTATTGGCATTACAGGCTGTCTGTTCTTTCCAAAACTTGATATGAGTATATTGATATGATAGCATGGCTATCTCTTTTCAAACTGACCCAAGAGGCTGGATTGTGAAGGGAACCAGTGGCATTTATTATCGAGGTAGATGATAAAGCAAAGATTCCTTTTTGTGGGCCCTCTCCATGTTGTTCTTCTTGAAGGTGACTGCAAGAGTGATGTTTGCAGCCTTTGCAGCCATTCTGTTGCTGTGAAAAGGTGCATGTCAAGCTCCTTTCCCATCCACTAGCTAAAAACTAATTGATGTTGGCAGATTTCCAGAGGCTGATGACACGAAAAAGACTGGAACTGCTGTTTCGGAAAGCATTCTGGGATCTGGAATTCCTCATCAGTTTTTCAGCTGCAGTGTCACTAGCTGCTGTCACGTTGTTGCTCTCAAGCCCATTCTTCTGTTTCGAGAGAATGGCAAAGACACGGTCCTGGGCATGAGCTGCAGTGACGCACACAGATACCTCAGGGTCATGCATCAGGCCTTCAAGAGCTGTAAAAATAAAAAGAGTACTGGTAGTTAAAATTGCAAAAGGATATTAAATGATATTTCATTTTGATGGGGGGGGGCATTCCAGAACGGATCCCCCACAAAAACAGAAGGGTGACTGTATATCAGATCCCTCCCAGACAAGGTTCAGTTGGCCTCCTCTCTGCTCTCTTTTCACCAGCCCTTCTTATTTAAATAGGCTTTCAGCCTCTAATTGGTTTGGACAGAAAGATGCTCAGAGGGTGTGATCTATTTACAAATATGTAATACGCGTTGAAATTGTTTTTACTAGTTTGAAACAAATGTTTTCATTAGATTGGTTGTTTACCGCTTTTTAAACGTCTATCCTATATATTATTTTAGCTATTTTCACTTATTTTGTGAGTCAGTTTGGGTCCCATATTGAGAGAAAGGCAGGATATTTATTAAACAAACAAACAAACAAATATCTTTTCATATTAAACATTCAGTATTATCCAGAAAGATCCAGGTGCTGGTGGCAGGTTTGCTTTTTTTAAAAGTACTAATACAATGGGCTCTTGGTATTTGCTGGGATTTGGCTCCATGACAGCCCCCCAGGATACCAAAATCCATGGATGCTCAAATCTCTTTATATACAATGTAGTAGTAAAATGGTGTCCCTAGTACAAAATGGCAAAATCAAGGCTTGCCTTTTGGAATTATTTTTAAAAATATTTTCAAGTCGTGAATGGTTGAAACCAAGGATGCAGAAACCGTGGCTACAGAGGGCCAACTATAATTCAAATTCCACAACTGGAATACATTGGGTGATATTTTATATTCTTATTATATCACTAGTATCACCACTGCCATTACTACTAGTAGTAGTATTACATTTTAGTTACAAAATTTGAGGGGAGACACACTAACCTATTTTCATTTATGGATATTGTTATCAGGGATAGGTGTAGTAGATGGAATAGAAGGCTTAAATACCCTAAGGCATCAGATCCCATATAACTGTATGTACATTACTGTATATACATATTACTGTAAAAGCACCTGTGATTTTCCTTCTCTGTATCTGCTTGTGCAATTTTGAATGCACGACAATGAATGCAGTTAATAGTTTGAAGGAAAATGAATTTACATATGCCGGTATCATGTCATTTATGTTTCACCAGCAAATAGATGTGGGCTCCTTGAATCCTGTTATTTCTATGGACCTGATAGATACATTGCTAGACTAGGGAGATCACAGAGATGATGGGAAGAATTTCAGAGTAGAGCTGTATCCTGTGAGCAGATATCATATAAAAGGTAACACAATCCTAGGTGATCACTGAAGTTCTTTGTTTTGATACATATAAAAATGCCCTGAGACTTTAACTCAACAGCTACATATATATGTTTGTATATGTGGAAAGGTCCCGCTGCCCACCAAAACAACAGTGGCAACATTGAAGATCTCATTAGAAGGCTGAGTACTATCTCTTGCAGACTGAATAGTGACAAAGGCTTTTTAAAATTACACAACATGTGTTAATCATCTGATCAATTCATGGATACCACCCAACTGCTTTGTTAGTGGCTACTGTTAAGGAAATTGTCACTTTGTGTACTTATTGGACTTTGATTCCTTCTGACCCCATTGTTGATCACTTCTCCACACGCTCACATTCCCAAGCATGATATAAATTGCCAGTTGAAGTAACAACACTTCATGCATCTGATAAAAACATCATGAAATAAACTTTATGTCACAATCAAATTGGTTTGTCTTTAAGGTGTCATAAGTCTGTTTGCAGATTTTGCTTCAAAAGAATAGCATGGCTTCCTCTTATATTTGAAAAGAAATGTTCAGCATTCTATTGATTTTTTTAATGTTTATGTTTTTATATTTTTATGGAATAACATAGTAATATGGGTTGGACAACGTACAGCAATTCGCTTGAAGCATTCAAGGCAATACAGGAGAACAGAATGAGACACATTGTCACAAAACTGGCAACTATAAGTTTAATTGCAAGTTATCTCAGAAAAAAAGAATAGCAATGGTCCAAAGCACACTGCAGAAATAATCCAGTTTGAGACTGCTTTAACTGCCCTGTCTCAGTGCTAAGAAATCCTGGGAATTGTAGTTTATTGTGATACCAGAGCTCTCTGACAGAGAAGGCTAAGTTTCACAAAACTACAGTTTCCAGAATTCCCTAGCATTGAGCCAGGTCAGTTAAAGCAGTCTCAGACTGGATTATTTCTGCAGTATGTTTTGGACCAACCTGTACAAGTTGAGTGCCTAAAACTGTGCACTGTTAACTCACCCTTAGCAATACTGGCCTTGTTATTCCCACTCCTGGTTTAAATCTAATTGACTTCCTTTTCTTTTTATTATTTTTATATGATGTAATGCATACAACCACAATAATCTTACACTTTTTCTCTTTACTTACTTTGGGATACCAAATCAAGATCTTCCTTTCCCACTGTACTATCCATATGTAGTACTAGGAAACCTAAATATACCACATGAAAAATTAATTATAATTACAGTTTATAAATATGAGTCACCATATAACTATTATACTATACCTAGATTGTGTACTTGAAAGTAAGACCCAGTAGTTTCAATTTCAGCTTCAAAAGAATTTCAAAATTCAAAGAAATCAGGTTTAGAGTTTCAGTTGTACATGCCATAAACCTGAAGCACAGAACACCAAGACCTCTGTATTTTGTTGTACTACAATTTTTATCAGCCATAACCAGCACAGCCAACACTGAAGGCTGATGGGAACTGCAGTCCAACAACATCTGGAGTACCACACAGTCCCCATTCCTTGTTGTTGCTGTTTGGTGCCTTCAAGTTTCTGACTTATGGTGATCCTAAGGCAAACCTATCATGGTATTTTCTGGAGTTGAGTGTGTGTGACTTGCTCAAGGTGGTTGGGGTTTCCATGGTGGAGCAGGGATTTGAACTCTGGCCTCCAGAGTCATAGTCTAACACTCAAACCACTATGCCACACTATGCCCATTCCTATCCTCAGACAAAATTTTTACTGACTAAAGAAAGCCTGATGTAGACCCTTAAGCTTGCAGAACTTTCCTGCTAATTACAGCATAAAACAGCCTTACTAAAAATCTCTTTCAAACAGATATGTACACTGGCTTAGTAGAAGCTGAGGAAGTCTTATATGTTCCTATGAGAAAGATGGTCACAAAGCACCTTTTCTACAATTCCATTGCAGAACCGTAGCAGGACTATTCTTTATATTGCTATTAAATTTTCCCAAGACCAGGAATAAGATCAAATTGTCATGACAACTGACATAAGCAGTTATGCCAGCCCTAATATGAAAATGAATTCTTTTTTCATTTACCAAGGAACATGATGGAAGCCCTTTTTATAGAAAGAAGTGGACTCTCAGTGTAGAAAATGCCCTGGTACAAGAACCTTTGAAGAGCTCCTTGTTGCTTTTGTACCTGAAAGCGCAAGAAATGTAAAGCTGGTTTCATTCAAAGGGTAAACTACATTATGATAATAACAATAACAATAACAATAACAATAACAATAACAATAACAATAATAATAAATTTATTTATACCCTACCCCTCTGGGATCAACTGGGGCGGCTAACAAAGTTAAAATACAATACATCCCAATCCTGTCCCTACCCCCCCTTAAAAAAGTATTAAATCAGATAAAAGTTAAAAGCCAAACAAAATAGGAATGCAGCGATTGGCTGCAATAATAGTAATAACAAAGAAAAACAAAAAAGAAAGGGAAACGACGGCATTATACCACATTAAGGAAGACTCTAGGAGAACTCTCCAAAAAAAAAAAGTTCCCAAGGCCGGGGTAATCTATCCTGGAAAGGCCTGCCAGAAGAGATCCATCTTGACAGCTTTTTTAAAGCTGTCTAAAGATGTTAATTGGCGAATCTCGCCTGGCAGGCCGTTCCATAATCTGGGGGCGACAACAGAAAAAGCCCTCTGGGAGGTAGCCGAAAGCCTAGATCTTTGTGGCTGCAGCAGGCACAATACGTGCAGAGGAGAAGGATCTCTGCGCTGCACGTATTGCCTCCCGATAGGACCAGAGATAGTTCCTATGGCGAGTTCTGTCAGATAGGGGCCGAGTCTTCCACCATTCGTGCTCTAGTCGAGCCTTCAAGGGCGGACCATTCTAATAGTCTACCACCCCCGGTGGGGCGGATCAAGGCTCTCAGTTTTATCTTGACCAGGAAATGATCCATCCATGACAAGGCGGAGGTCCCAATAACCTCCGCCCACGGATATTCCTGTTCCGTACTAAAGACCACATCAAGTGTATGACCTACACAATGTGTGGGCCCGATGACCAATTTAGATAGGCCCATGTTGGTCATGGTTTCCATGAACTCCCGAGCCGCACCTGTTAAACTGGTCTTGAGAGGGATGTTGAAGTCTCCCAAAACTAAAAGTCTGGGAGACTCCAGCAGGAGCTCTGAGACCAGTTGTGTCAGCTCGGTTAGGGAGTCTGCTAAACAACAGGACAGTCGGTATACTAGCAGAATCCCCCAACTGTCCCTGGTCCTCCGGCTCAGGTACATACACTTGAAGTGGACTGTGTTCCGGACAGGTATCCTGGTCAACGTCAAGTTGGTCTTGTAAATCAGAGCCACATCACCCCCCCGCCCACTTCCCCTCACCTGCTCACTAGCAGAGTACCCGGCTGGGAGGGCCTGCGCTCAGATAACCACACTATCCTCTCCCAGCCAGCCAGGTCTCTGTAAAGCAAGCCAGGTCGACACCCTCATCTAGGAGATCATAGATGATCAGAGAGTTTACATTTACATTTATGAATTTATTAAGTGAATAGTTTCTCAGCTAAGACGGGATGGAGATCTTGTTTAGATATCACTGGACTATAATTTGCATCATCCTCACCACTAGCTCTGCAGGCTAGGGCTGGTGAGAGCTGCAATTCAACATCTGAGGACCATACATTTCCCACCCCTGTTCTGGGCCATCACTTGTTCAAATCTCATCTCAGTACTATCACACATTAGGTAGTGGAGTTCCAATTTCTAATATACAGATCGAGGATAGTTCAGACCTACCTTACAGGGCTCCTGTAAGGACTGTTTAGATTACGAATGTTAACACTAAGGTAAAGTGCTATATAAACATACTATCCTCAATACTGGCTTGTCAAGAAATCAAGTGCAAAAATTAAGGAAAGCTCAGCTTATTTATGAAAAATAAAATTAAGAAATCTATACATAACCCTCCAAAACATGGTGGAGGCCAGGTCTCTAAAATGCAAAATCTGATTTTTAGGATGTAATGTTGATCATTTAACACCTCTCCTCTCCCCGCATCTTAGATTAGGTTAGCTGACAGCCTGTTTTAAAATGCACACTTCTTTTTTTTAAAATGTAGGTAAGTGGTTGGTTGGCCTTTAAAAAAAGTCATCTTTGTTATAATCACGAAACGTCAGAAAGAAACTCTTCTAGAACATGGCCACACAGCCCGAAAACCCCACAAAAAACTATAATCAGGTTTGTTTTACATCACTCTTTTGTTCTTGAATCTTGGCATAAGAATAATTTGTGCTAGCAAAGAACCTGTGGACAACCTACGAGGTACCGGCAGGTTTCATCCAGAATGTCTTCATGCTCATACCAAGCTTTCCAGCTGACAATCTGCTTTGGGGGTTTCCATCCCAGGAAGTGAAAGGATTCCTCCAAGGCATATTTAGATTTCTACAAGAAGATAATATATACTGTAGTTTTAAACATTCATAAAGCAATACCATCCAGCTACTGAATACCTTTGTGATAAATATTGGGGGAGGTATATTTTAATGAGGGTTGACATCACAGCTAATAAGATGGCAAGTGTCCAATAAGATGGGCAGTTTGGGAGAAGCATGAACATTTGAGATGGTTTTGAGAGAGGGTTTTTTAAAAGTCTGGATGCAAAATGAGGTTTTTGTCTGTCTGTCTGTCTGCCAGCTGGCTTTTGTCTCTGACTCTTGGGAGGCAGACTATGAGGGAGCTGGTGGAGCTGAACAGTGGAGTCCAGGCTCCTATCTATACAGAAACATCAAGAACTACAAATTCCATCTGAGCTGTGAGTAAGATTAGGAACATGTACCAGTTAGTGGCATCAGGATTTTTAATTTGTTTTAATGGTTTGGCTGAAATGATTGTACTCTGTAACTTACACTTTCTGTTTGTGCCTATAGGACGAGTTGGACCTGCATGTAGTGATATCCCTTTGCTCTAGAGCGCCTTTAGTTAGAATAAAGCTTTAAAGTACTCTGCCTCCTTGCTCTCCTTTTCATGTGCCTTGGCTGGGCTAGTCCTTTCCTATGTTGGCAATGGAACTTGCCAGTGGAATCCTCCAGCAAAGTCCCAATGTATTGCTAAGGTGGTGTTGGGGGGGGGGGGGGGGGGGAAGAAGCAGAATTGATCAGGTGGTGGCAAAAAGGTTTGTTTTTAGATCAAAATGTGGTCTCAAAGGGTCATATACAGGTTAGCAGAAGTGGAGGGGGGCTGTAGAGAACCTTCACAACCTTAAAGCAGTCCATTTGTTTAGGACAGGGGTAGGCAACCTTTCCCCTTTAAGGGCCGAGGGACTTCAGCTCCCAGAATTCCAGGAGCTATTGGCCAACATGGGACTATTGGCCAACATGGGTGAGGCTTCTGGGAGCTGAAGTCCCTCGGCCCTTAAAGGGGAAAGGTTGCCTACCCCTGGTTTAGGACTTCAGCTAATTTGTCCAACAGTCAAGAATTATGGCAGTGGAAGTCCAAATCATCTTGAGGACCAAATGTTGGGAACCACTGCCCTATTGGATTGTTGCCAATAAGTGGGATATAAATAATAATAATAATAATAATTATAGAAGAAAAGGCATTCTGATATTTGTACACAAGACAGAAAACGATTGTGGGGGTGTGAAGCTGGACAAGACTGGTTAGAGCCAGCCAACCCCAACCTTTATAATGCTGTAAAGGGGAGCGAACAAGGGGAAAGGCTGCAACTAGAAGTCATTCAGTTAAAGAGAAAGATAACGGGATGATGAAATAGATGTCAGAAATACAGAGGGAGGACTAGTTAGGAAGGGAATGGAGAAGATCTGACTTGGGTTTTGTAGGCCTAAGGATGTGATGAGAGCTCAGGGTGAAGTGTTATTTGGTTTGAAACAGAAGGGTTATTGTATGTGTGGAACTGGCATAAGGTTAAATCTTTATTTTATTTGTTATATAGTAAGTTTTGGCTGTTGTGTGCCTTCAAGTTCTTTCCAACGTATGGCAACCCAAAGGCAAACCTATTTTCTTGGCAAGATTTGTTCAGAGGGATTTTTTGATCCCTGGTCTCCATAGTTGTAGTCCAGTGCTCAAACTACTGCATCATGCTGGCTCTCAATAACTATTTACTGTTTTTATTTTCTACATTTCTTGTTTGAATGTTTTAAATCAATAATTAACAAAGGACAACTAGTCATGCTTTACCATATTGAACCCAGTGAAGAACACAATACTTGTCCAGTACAGCGGTCATCTCAAGTCTCAAGTACCAGAGATTAAAAGGGCAAGGTGACCGACAAGAGCCCTAGGGCTGGAACTGTTGGGTCACAGTAGGTATCAAGCTTGAGGACACACATTCAAGAAAACATGTTGGTATGTAGATAGGAGAAGAAAACAAACTTAGTTAGGACTTTTGTTTGAATGATCTGATTGATGAGTATCTTCTTGATACTTCCTTGGAAACTGAGAGAAATATATGTTGGTAAGAACTTGCCTTGCTGATGTCAGAGTTCTCCTCCTGGAGATGCAAAAATAATGGAACCATGCTTTCTAGTATTTGTTGCCTTATCACTAGTTTGTTGTTTTTCTTGGCCCTTCTCACCATTTTCCCAAAAAGATATATGGCAGAAGCACGCACACTTTCTCTATTCTGTAAGCATCAAAATAAAAGGAGACAGTGAGACTGTCTCAGTGGACAGCACAATGCAAACTGATCCTGATTAACAGAAACTGATACA